TGAATGTTTGAATCTCCAGTGACTGACGAGTGAATGTTTGAATCTCCAGTGACTGACGAGTGAATGTTTGAATCTCCAGTGACTGACGAGTGAATGTTTGAATCTCCAGTGACTGACGAGTGAATGTTTGAATCTCCAGTGACTGACGAGTGAATGTTTGAATCTCCAGTGACTGACGAGTGAATGTTTGAATCTCCAGTGACTGACGAGTGAATGTTTGAATCTCCAGTGACTGACGAGTGAATGTTTGAATCTCCAGTGACTGACGAGTGAATGTTTGAATCTCCAGTGACTGACGAGTGAATGTTTGAATCTCCAGTGACTGACGAGTGAATGTTTGAATCTCCAGTGACTGACGAGTGAATGTTTGAATCTCCAGTGACTGACGAGTGAATGTTTGAATCTCCAGTGACTGACGAGTGAATGTTTGAATCTCCAGTGACTGACGAGTGAATGTTTGAATCTCCAGTGACTGACGAGTGAATGTTTGAATCTCCAGTGACTGACGAGTGAATGTTTGAATCTCCAGTGACTGACGAGTGAATGTTTGAATCTCCAGTGACTGACGAGTGAATGTTTGAATCTCCAGTGACTGACGAGTGAATGTTTGAATCTCCAGTGACTGACGAGTGAATGTTTGAATCTCCAGTGACTGACGAGTGAATGTTTGAATCTCCAGTGACTGACGAGTGAATGTTTGAATCTCCAGTGACTGACGAGTGAATGTTTGAATCTCCAGTGACTGACGAGTGAATGTTTGAATCTCCAGTGACTGACGAGTGAATGTTTGAATCTCCAGTGACTGACGAGTGAATGTTTGAATCTCCAGTGACTGACGAGTGAATGTTTGAATCTCCAGTGACTGACGAGTGAATGTTTGAATCTCCAGTGACTGACGAGTGAATGTTTGAATCTCGAGTGAATGTTTCAATCTCCAGTGACTGATGAGTGAATGTTTCAATCTCCAGTGACTGATGAGTGAATGTTTTAATCTCCAGTGAATGACGAGTGAATGTTTGAATCTCCAGTGACTGATGAGTGAATGTTTTAATCTCCAGTGAATGTTTGAATCTCGAGTGACTGACGAGTGAATGTTTGAATCTCGAGTGAATGACGAGTGAATGTTTGAATCTCCAGTGACTGATGAGTGAATGTTTGAATCTCGAGTGAATGACGAGTGAATGTTTGAATCTCCAGTGACTGACGAGTGAATGTTTGAATCTCCAGTGACTGATGAGTGAATGTTTTAATCTCCAGTGAATGTTTGAATCTCGAGTGACTGACGAGTGAATGTTTGAATCTCCAGTGAATGTTTGAATCTCCAGTGAATGACGAGTGAATGTTTGAATCTCGAGTGAATGTTTGAATCTCCAGTGACTGATGAGTGAATGTTTTAATCTCCAGTGAATGTTTGAATCTCCAGTGAATGACGAGTGAATGTTTGAATCTCGAGTGAATGTTTGAATCTCCAGTGACTGATGAGTGAATGTTTTAATCTCCAGTGAATGTTTTAATCTCCAGTGAATGACGAGTGAATGTTTGAATCTCGAGTGAATGTTTGAATCTCCAGTGACTGATGAGTGAATGTTTTAATCTCCAGTGAATGTTTGAATCTCGAATGACTGACAAGTGAATGTTTGAATCTCCAGTGACTGATGAGTGAATGTTTTAATCTCCAGTGAATGTTTGAATCTCCAGTGAATGACGAGTGAATGTTTGAATCTCGAGTGAATGACGAGTGAATGTTTGAATCTCCAGTGACTGATGAGTGAATGTTTTAATCTCCAGTGAATGTTTGAATCTCGAGTGACTGACAAGTGAATGTTTGAATCTCCAGTGAATGACAAGTGAATGTTTGAATCTCCAGTGACTGATGAGTGAATGTTTTAATCTCCAGTGAATGTTTGAATCTCGAGTGACTGACGAGTGAATGTTTGAATCTCCAGTGAATGACGAGTGAATGTTTGAATCTCCAGTGAATGTTTGAATCTCCAGTGAATGTTTGAATCTCCAGTGAATGTTTGAATCTCCAGTGAATGACGAGTGAATGTTTGAATCTCCAGTGACTGACGAGTGAATTTTTGAATCTCCAGTGACTGACGAGTGAATGTTTGAATCTCCAGTGAATGACGAGTGAATGTTTGAATCTCCAGTGAATGTTTGAATCTCCAGTGAATGACGAGTGAATGTTTGAATCTCCAGTGACTGACGAGTGAATGTTTGAATCTCCAGTGAATGTTTGAATCTCGAGTGACTGACGAGTGAATGTTTGAATCTCCAGTGAATGACGAGTGAATGTTTGAATCTCCAGTGACTGACGAGTGAATGTTTGAATCTCCAGTGACTGACGAGTGAATGTTTGAATCTCCAGTGAATGACGAGTGAATGTTTGAATCTCCAGTGACTGACGAGTGAATGTTTTAATCTCCAGTGAATGACGAGTGAATGTTTGAATCTCCAGTGACTGATGAGTGAATGTTTTAATCTCCAGTGAATGTTT